GTGTGTGTGTGTGTGTGTGTGTGTGTGTGTGTGTGTGTGTGTGTCGGGGGGTATTTTGAATGAGGGAAGCTAGGTTGAGGAACGTAATGGCCCTGTGCCTCCAAGTCCTTTGGCTTCTCCGTCTCACCTAACTCTTCCCAGACTCCCATCGTGGTTGCCCAAAGGCCCAAGGAAGAGTGCACCCCACAGATGGCATCCCCCACCCTCCACAATTCCCATCCCTCACGGTGCGTGAACCATATTAGCGTAGTTTAAATTTTTTGGTCCCCCTCCTCAGCCGCCTCTTTTCCTGCCAGCTTCTAGTGGGGGTGGGGGAGCCCAGTCTTCTCTCTGGATAATAATAGATTAAATAGATTAAAGGCATTTTGAAACGTGTCCTCAGGAATTCTCTTTTACTCCATTCACTTTCTCTCTTTAAAAATATACCACTGTGGGGGGTGGGGGAGAGCACCCTCACTGGAAATGAGACCAAAATAGCTCATCTAATGAAGGGCTGGGGACAGAGATTGAAACCCAAACAGGCAGAGCAATTCCATGTGAAAGAGTAAAAATCCATCTCGGCTGCCCGCTGAGCCCTGGCGGAGCGGGAACTCCAACGGTAGGGAGCCTCGAGCGGGCGGTGTCGCAAAACCCAGAGGCAGGGACCGCCTCCACATGGCAGTTGCCAAAGATGGAAAGAATCCATACTGAGAACCCTCAGGCCTTTATGGAGCTCTTCGCTGCTAAGGGAGTACAAACTGCATCATCTCCTGCTCCATTTACTGGTTTGCTGTCGGTAATGAGTCTGGAGCCACCAGAGGACTGAGCCAGGATGGCTTGGGTGGCAGCCTTTCTGCCCCGGGGAACGCGAAGCTGTGAGCCTTGAGCCCCAACCTAGCTGTGGGGGAGGCGGGTGTGGGGTGGATGCGGGAGGACCTGGGACTGCAACCCAGGCCGGGCCAGGAGGCACCACCAGGGTGGCCAGCCAGGTTCTGCCAAAGGCGTTGGAGTGAATTCGGCCCATAGCCTATCACCGACCTGGCGCTGGTGTGTCAGAAACACGGTTGACGCCTGAGGCGTGGATGTTTGAGGAGATGATGGAATGAAGTTTTCTTCTAAACCCCTTTCTCACTCTCTTTTCCTTCTTTTCCCCAAATCCTTGTATCACATCGCATTTAGGCAACATCAACAGTCATTTCACCTTCTCTCCCAACGCTGGGTCCAACGTTACAAGTCTGCTCCTTGCGACACGCTTCAACTATGCCAGTGGGCTTGACAAGATCTGGGACTACAAACTACTTGTCTACATAACTGATGACAACTTGCTGTCTGGCAGGAAGAAAGCTCAGGCTCACGTTGAAACAGGGACGGTAACGCTGAGTATTAGTGTCATTCCTCACCCCACCACAGCTGTCACCACAACCACCAGGGTAAGGGCTTTGGGACCTGGACTCCCCAGATACGTCCCTTGTGATGTACATCGATGGAGCCCCTTGACCCAGGAGAAATATGGGACGGGCTGAAAAGAGTTGAGGTGTTAGGATGTTGCCAGGAATGCCAACTATGGGCTGGACCGGAGTAGTCGCTGGGTGGTAGACAAAGATCTGAGTGAGACCTTGGATTGGTAGAACCATTAGCTTTCCTATGTTGCTAAAGAAGAATGTGCATTTCTGCACTGACTTGTGATAGATCAGGTATTGACCACGTGTGGTGCTTGTGGCACAGGAGCCAATTTTCATGGACGTGTGGCCAGTAGCTTCCTTCACAACCCCTTCTGTGCTTGCTCTGAAAGATCATTGCAAGTCAATGTCCATGAAGGCGGGTAGCTGGTTTTATGCTCTTCCCCACTTCTTTTGAAGAGTCCCTATGCACCAATCTGTACCCTACTCCCCACCCCCACTCCAAAAAATTCATTGGCTCAATCTACAAATATCGACTGAATACCTATAATACGCCAAGCTCTTTGGTGAACAAGCCAAAAATGATCTCTGCTGTCATGGAGCTTCCAGTAAGTCAGTGATCCCCAGGCCATCAGCAACAGCACCACCTGGAAACCTGTTAGAACTGCAAATTCTTAGACCCACCCCAGAATATTGAAGTTGTGATCATCACCATGACCTCTAGGGAAGGATACCGGAACCTGGAGTCCTCAGCCACATCCCCAGAACTACTGGATCAGAAGCTCTGGGAGTAGGACCCAGGAATCTGTGTTTTTAATAAGCCTCCAAGGGGATTCTGATGTGCTCTAAAGTTTGAGAGCTGCCGATCTAGAGAGGGAGACAGATGACAAACAGGTAGCCAAATTCATTCATTAACTACAGATTGTAGGAGATAGTAGGAAGCAAACAAGCAAGTGCCCATAAAACCAGTGGGATGAAGGAAGGGAGAGAGTCTCGGAGTCTGACAGTAGGATTATCTCCTCCTGCTCCTTGGAAGGACTCTAACTCTTTTGCCCCCTTTCCTCCTGCTCCTAGGGAAAGTTGTGCCCTTAGGAGGCAGCCCCACACGTGCAGTGTGCCAGAGGAGAAGTCATCAGAACCTTAGCTACCCGTGACCAGTGGTCAAATTCTGTTTGTCCAAGTCCTACCATGAGCTGGTCTGTGTTCATCTCCCGTGTGCTGGAGTCAATATTACCCCAACGAACGGAGACATAAGATGATCTTAAGGGCTTTCGCTGGTGGTAGGAGCCAGTAGGCTCCCTTGAGTAAGGAGCTGCCACCTTCCTGGGGCTTACATGGGGACCCAGTGGTGACATCTCCAGCCCCCAAATCTCCATACCTTGTTTGGTACAGTCTTCTTCTCCAGGAAGCAAATGCCAAGCTTGAGGTTCTGCTGTGCCGACAGCCCTGTGTGATCTGGCTGTGCGGCTTGCTGCGAGGGGACACTGTAAAGCCTATAAAGTGTTAAAAGAACAGCTTTCGTGGCGCATGCTTTCCCAGTGAGAGACAATGGCTATATTCGTCCCAGGGTTATGCCATGATTTGGCAGGGAAAAAAGCCAATGGGATTTTTAGCGTTTGGGAAGGGGAAGAAAGAGTAAAAATAGGTCTGGAGTTGCTTTTCAGTTCCCTAAATTTTCTGGGTTTTGATCTCCTGGGTGCTTGGAAAGACTATAAATAAGCTGATGGGTTGAAGCAGCAAGAACTGTGAGCACATGGATGCCCCCGTGTATAGAGCAAGAACAAAGAGCAGAACCAACACTTGACACGAGAATGCTGATGTCAAAAATGGCTCACCTGCCCCCCTCTGTCATTCAAGCCCAGGGTCATCTACCAGGTCCGGAGAAAAAACGTTTATTCTCCATCAGCGTGGTATGTGCCTTTTGTCATCACTTTGGGCTCCATATTGCTCCTGGGCCTCCTGGGATCCCTGTTTGTCCTGTTGGCCAAAGCCATCCACAGACACTGTCCCCGCAAGACTGGGAAGCCCAAGAAACTTGCGTAAGTTATCGGTGGGCTGGGCCCTTTCCACCACTTCCTTTAGGCCACTGCTGCCAGTGATGTCAGGAGAGGGAATAGAAGGAATTAGATTTCTCTCCAGGGCAGAGAGGGAGCCTGGAGTGAAGGAAGGAGAAGTCAGTGGGGGCATGGCTCGCCGAGCGTCCTGGTACCCTCTGCATCACCTACTGGGCCTGGTTTTCCATGGCACCTGCCCTGTCCTTGAAACATCCTCAGTGAAATGGGGCTTCCTCCGCCGGTGAACTTGCCCTGGATAAAAGCCTCAGAAGAAAAAAAGCCTGGTTGTGAGTAGTGATAGGATATACTGTGCTGGTATTTGTAGAATATTTAAAGGATGGGAGGGAATTAGAGAAAGCACAGAAAACTGCTAAGGGAATTAAGCTTTTGGCTCCAGTGACTCACTGGGCTTTTGTGTGACTAAATTATCGTTGTTCTTTTGCCTGTGACCCCAATCTTTCACTCCCCAGGGCTGGAAACAGAGGCCTGTTTCCCCTCCCTCCTGTTCCCTCCTGCTCACTCACGTGCCTCTTACCATGTACTCTGCTGAAGTGAGACACTGGAGTGAAATGGAGAGAGCACGTCATTGTTCCAAGCTTCCCTAGCCCAGTTTCTCGAGTCTCAGAAGGTCCCCCCACGACAGCATGATGGTTCTGCTCCTGGGGCTTTGGAGAGAGACAAGGCCTGTTTAGGCTCTGGGCTCACCATTTTCCATATGGCCTCAGACAAATGGCAACCTTTGTGAATCTCAATTCCTTATTTGAAAAGTAAACAGTCAAATGACAAAGGCAAAGGAAGCACTTAGCAGGGTTCCTGATGTTGAGTAAATGCTTAATATAGTGTTTGTTGAGTCTTGTTGCATTATTTTTTTTGTGGCTGAGTCCCCGTGAGCTCAGGATTCTAGGTTCCAAGTTTAGCTCTATGCTGAAGTATCTCAGGATGTTGGAACCTGAGTTTTGGCACCACAAGGGAGTGATGAGACTTCCTATGCCTTTTAAAGGTGTTTTGAAGATTAACTAGTACTGTCGAATAACTTAAAATCTGTGGATGAAAAGACTCTACAAAAGTATAAGGCATTAGCATAAAGATGTGCATTGCATTTTGCCATATTTATTGGGGAAGTTTGTTGCTATTGGCAACCTTGACTTCAAGGTAAGAAATCCGTGAGCATCTGCTGAAATTAAAAGAGGCATTTTTGTTTGGGTTCTACTCACAAATTGATTTGGGAGAAAAAATTGGTTCCAAAAGAGTGATGCTTAAGCTTGTAAGGATGGTGGTGCTCCGTAATGGGGTTTGGACAGAAGTTCGTAAAGGTAGTCATCCATTAGACACTGCAACTCTTAAGCAATTTATGGTTCCGTGTACCTTGAACTTGGTTGCCTTAACTTACATCCTAAATATTAATCGTTTCCAACATGGTTGACTTAAAAAAGAAAAACTAGTTAGTAATAACAGGCTCAGGCCTGGCCTCTCTGGAAATTAGGTGTACCATATGGCAGCCAACGTTTGTCCAACAGCAAAGAAGAAAATTAGAGTCACAGAATTATGGAACCCAAGGTTATCCTGGGAAGGGGCTTGGCATCCAAGTCCAGGTCTTCCTGTTATAGGAAAACAGGGTTTAACTGCCAGCCCTTGAAGCTTCCTGCTGTGAGCCAAGCCTTCTGCTCAAGGTGGCTACCGGGGAGAAAAAGGAGGCGGGAAGAATTGCCAGACCTGCCGGTCATGCCCTCACCTGTGCTGTCAGAGAAAATACATTCCCTCAAGTTCTATAAGGCAATAGTTTTCAAACTTATCAAACTCCTAGAACCTCTTAAGTCCCACACCAACAGTGATGGAGCTGCTTTGTTTGGAGCAGGGGTGGGAGCCCAGCCTTCATTTTATTTAGTCCCCAAGCCTGGCCCCTCTTTTAATCAATCCCTGAATCCCAAGGAACACAGTTGCCCCAAGGCTCCAAGTTATTATATGTGAACCAGAGCAGAATACTTTCAGGTTAATTCTTGTCCCTCTCTTGTTTTTTCCCACAGGGTGAAGAAAGGAGGTATGTACCATGCCTAGTCCCTTTGTTCGTGGCTGTCACTGTTGTTGGGTTTTGCTTGCTTTCTTGTACTAAATAAAAGGGTTCCAACTCAGCAGAGAATCGGGGTGCAGCTCTGCCTCAGTGTGTTTTCAGTCGCGTCTGCTGTGGCTGAAATGAGAGGTCAGATGTAGACGGAGAAAGGAAAGGGCAAGGCGCATGGTGCCCGTAGGCGCTCAGATCTCTCTGAGTCCTGCCTGTTTCCTACCCAGACTTGCCTCCAGCCAGCTGAACTGAGGCACCTAGAGGTCTGTTCCCCGCCAAGTCAGCCAGGAGTGATGAATTCTCCGGGAGTGAAACACAGACAGTATCTACTTGCTGCTGCACAGGGAGGGGCGGGCCCGCTCCCGAGGACAGCAAATGCTCTGTATTGGACACATGCCTCTTTTGCAAGAACAAATGACACTTTATTCTCAGAGTGTAACGGATTTGATCATTTTCACAAGTTATTTGGGTCAGGCAAGTCGGAAAGGGGGGTGGGGTGCAGTCCGATGGGCGGGGAGAGTTGAGGCGCTGGTGAGTTGAGCAAATTCCCATCTGAATAAGGACGCCAAGCCTAAGGGGATGACAGACCCAAGCCTGGAAAGTTGCTGCCTGGAGGGAAATCCAGGCTATGGGGAGAGACGGGACAGAGGATTGGAAAGTGTGTTTAAAAAAAAAAAAAAGATGGCTTTTTTTTTTTTTTAAAGACTGTATTTACTTATTTGAGAGACAGAGAGTGAGAAAGAGAGAGAGGGTAGAGGGGGGGAGGGTCAGAGGGCGAAGCAGACTCCCCACGGAGCAGGGAGCCCGATGCGGGACCCGATCCTGGGACTCCAGGATCATGACCTGAGCTGAAGGCAGTCGCTTAATGGACTGAGCCACCCAGGCGCCCCAAAAAAGATTGCTTTAATCACTCAATCCATAGGCGTGTGTGACTGATATGCACAAGGCACTAAGCAGGGTTAGAAATTTGATTGTAATGGTTATTGATCATATCAAATGAAATGATTTTAATGAGGTCCTCACAGACTGTCACCCACCCTAGTTACTTTTTAAAAGGGCATAGGGAATGGATTCAAAGAATCCTCACGTTATGAACAAATGTATCAACTGGACCTTTCTTATCTTTCAGTGAAAAGCTAATTACCCAGGTCCAGTAAGAGCAATAAATTGGGAAAAGAGTAACATTCAAAAACAAATTCTGTATATTATTATTATGTGTGTGCATGTGTGTGGGTGTGTATTTTTCTGAGAAGGTAGAAAACTGTCAATAAACATTTCTACAGAGAATTCCTTGTCCTGTCTGCAATACTAAGTTCAAAAGCCTGTTTAAGAGAAATCCCACTGTGGAGGTAGAATTTCAAGGTCAATTTAGTGTCCAAGGAGCTTCACTTCTATCTGTTCTTTTCCCTGCAGAGATGAAGACTACAAAGCCAGAGGTTTTGGTGGTAAGTGTGGTGGCCACGGGGCACCTGGATTGGGTGACGTGTGGCGAGCCACTCCCGCCCTCTCAGGCAGACCCTGCCACAGCCTTGTGGGAGTGTTTATCATTCAGGGAGATGCTTGTATTTGGCCACTGGAACAGATTGCTGTGTGACGAGCTCCTGATAGAATTTGTTCCCTCCACTGAACATGTCTGCTGATATATTTGCAGAAGAAGTGGATTTCATAAATATTGAATAGTGGTGTTTATTATCTACACCAGCTCTCCAGGAGAGTGAGTTGCCTTAAAGACCAGAAATGGAGCCTCAGCCTTCGGTGATATTTATTTTTTCTTCACTGTTCCACAACCTTGCAGAAAAGCAAGGGAGATGGGGCACAGCTTGGTCCAGGGGTGGGCTCTGGCCCACTTGACCATATGACCTTGCAGACTCCCTCAGCCTCTTTAAGCTTTAGATTCCTCATCTGTAAAATGGGAGTGAGAACACATGCCCCAGGGTCGCAGGTGAGGAACTACCTTGAGAACTGTTAAGAGTCACGCAAATGCCAAGTGTCACAAGATAGCTGGGGAGTCTTCCCGCTGCCCCCCACCCTTACCTCCTTGTTTTTCTTTACTGAACCTGATCTGCCCACTGGGAAGTGACAGAACTTGAAGGTGACCCCTCCAGTCTCCCTCACCCCCTGATAATAAGTTTCTGTTATGATCCAAGACCCATAAATGGGGGGAATGATATGCACAATGACAAACACTATCCAGTGCTCCAGAATTTCTGCTTCAGGTCCATCACCTAAGTGCTTATCGGACAGGCCTGTCTACACTCGGGAGGAAGAGGGGATCTCTTATCTCCTTAGTCTTAGTGTCTAAGGCAAGTCCCCTTGGTGATGCCACTCAGAGAGCACCTTAGAAATATGTATTAAATTAATTAAATAAGTAAATCCCCATGACCATAAAAAATGTAGCTGCTGAACTGTTCAAATGGATAAAACCCATATGGTCTCCATTTCCTCTGTCGTGGGAGTTGGGGAGCCGTGGGTCAGTGCGTGGATGATGGCTGGTGTGATGAGAACCCCCCAGACTCCAAACATCATCCTCATTAGCATGCTAAAGAAGGGCACCTCCGGAGGGCACCTTGTGAGAGAAGGGGGTGTTTCCCTGGGGACAGAGGTCAGGTCCCCAGAGGGTGGCACAGAGAACAGGGGAAGGAGGGGAGCTGGAGCACCAGGCATAGGGAAGGCAGGCCAGGCCCAGATGCAACACTGTGTTGGCCTAGGCAAGGGGACACGGGCCAGAGCCCACGGATGGGAGCACGTGAGTGCTTCTCTCTGCCTGCCACGCATGCCTGCCTGACAGATCCCACTTAGGCAAAGGAGGTCTCAGCCAGGGTTGTGTGGCATTTCTGCTCTTCTTTCTGTGCGGCTTAGATAGCATTTACTTGGGATGCTTTCCTGCCTCCCAAGCTGGATTAGATGTCCTCCTGGCCCTCCTGGGCCCCGAGCATGCCAGAGTCCCCTGAGCATGCCAGAGTCCCACGGTCCACCTTATCACTCTATGTCGTGCACCTGTTGGCAGGGGCTCCCACTGACTGCAAGCTTTGTGCAGGCAGCCCCCACACCTGTCATGTTCACTACTGTGTCCCCAGCATCTAGCACGGTGCCTAGCGAGTAGACAAAGGTCAAGACGGCCCTGGGTAAGGAACGCAGCCGGCTGTGAGGATGAGCAGCCCGGCAGGGCAGGGGGCGTGTAGGGTTGTGCTTGAAGCTGTCTCTTTCTCCTCCTTAGGAAACAATTCAGATGAACTCCGTCTTTGATGGAGAAGCCATCGACCCAGGTAATTAAGTGCAGTGCCGTCCATCCAAAAGGTGTTTTTCATATTCCAGGTGGGTAGAGTCATGGAGGACCCTATCCGAGGTCCTGCCCTTAACTCAGTTTGTCCCTCCGTTTGAGGGTGTTGTCTGACCCTTCCGACTGCCATCCCAGGGGAGATCACCTCTGAGCTGGCAGATGCTCAAGCATCCGACCACGTGTGAGGCCTCAGCAGATTTCCACCTAAAGTCTCCCGCCCTCTCTAGCCTCCCTTCCTAAATCGCAAACCAACTCAGGAGACTGGTGCATTCTGCCTGCCCTTTGGAGCTCAACCTCCTCCCCCAGTCCTTTCTGAATGCTTCTAACACCATCCTATTGGTAGTGAGAGAGATGGAGAAATGGCAGGCTTGGCTCCCTTTTTCCCTAGATCAGGGCCAAGAATTTCTTCTTGGTGGGCAAGATGAACATAAGGTAAAGCTGGCCTCCAGAGCTCCCCTCACTCCCATGAAATCAGCTCCAAATTTAGCTCCTTTACACACATCCCTCCACTTACAAAGGCTCAATTATAGATGTGAATAAAGGGAAGGAAACCAAATTCGGGAGGCAAGTGTGCTGGCCCCCTGCCATCCTCACATGCAAGTGGCTCGGTCCTTCTCGGAAGGGTGGCTCCTCTCCAGGAGAGGCTGCTGCCGCTGTCGGAATTAAATTTCCCTTTATTATTAGGTACTTGTTACCATAATGTGCCCACATTAGCATAAGTGCTGGTGGGATCCTCTGCCGAGAGGCCACTCATAGCAAGAGCAGGGGATCGCCTGAGACTCCATCTTCTGGGGCAAAAGCCCGGGAGGATCAAGGCTGTCATCGACATTTCATGTGCCTGAGAGACGGAAAAAAGGAAGAGAGGAGCCAACTGCACTGATGGGAAGGAGCGCACCGATTAGTGCCCGCCGCTCTGGCTCAGTCACACGGCTCTCTTGCACCATCTCCACAGAGGCTCCGTGTCTGTGTCCATGAATCTCCGCTAACCTAACATACGTAAAAATCAGAGTCCTTTCCTCCCTACTCTGTGGCTTCCTTCTTGTGTCTGGAATTTAGGGGGCTTTTAAAACAAACCCATCAGGGGCGCCTGGGGGGCTCAGTCCATGAAGCGTCTGCCTTCGGCTCAGGTCATGATCCCAGGGGTCCTGGGATCGAGCCCTGTATCGGGCTCCCTGCCCAGCGGGGAGCCTGCTTCTCCCTCTGCCCCTCCTGCCCCCAGCTCAGGCTCTCTTGCTCTGTCTCTCTCAAAAAAATAAATAAAATCTTAAAAAAGACAATCAGAGCATAATGGGTAACCCCATTAGAAACTGAACCAAATTTATCCAAAGCGGACGTGGAATTCAAGATTTATGTGGCTTTTCTAATCTTGCAACCGAGAGCCTGTCCTAAGCCTTTCTCTCCAGGGAGGCATGATGTTTGCTACCTGTGTGGTCAGAGTCCTAAAGCTCATAGGAAGGGCAGGTGGGTGAAGATTGTGCCATTCATGAGCCTGCTTCCTCTCTCCATGACTCACCCCTCCTTACGCCTTTCCTCTTTCCCTGGGGTAAGAAAGGAGCCAGGCAGAGATGGGGGAGTTGAGCATTTGAATTCCCTCATTTATATGGTGGTTATATGTTTTTTCCCCTAGTTACTGGGGCAGTATATGAATTCAACTCAAACACGGGAGCCAGAAAGTGGAAAGATCCCTCAACCCAAATGCCAAGATGGAAAGAGCCGGACCCCCGGGGAACTGCTCCCAGTAGAGCTGTCGCTGGGGAAGAGGCTGGGCCACCGAGGAGCACCGGCGAGCGAGATGGGCTGAGCAGCAAAGCTCCGGCTGAGGATGCCCCCATTCCAGAAACCAGGATGGCAACTCAGGCACCCCAAAGAGCAGAAACCCAGCCCTCACGAGTCACCCCCAAACTGCATCTGGGAATACAACAGGTATCTGGGTGCAGGCCCCACATTGCAGCACGGGGGAGGGGCCTTGAGTGTCTCTGGGAGGCTGCCTCGCCCTAATTCCCATGAGGGCAGGGGTGGGAGCATCAGGGGTGAAAACATGGGCTGAAGGACTCGGAGAGCCAGGGCCCTAAATGGGATGTTTAAAACACACATAGTTGCCCTTTTCTGAGACAGCACGGGAGAAATTTCTCTCGGGTCTCTGTCCTCTGATCAGATGAACCGTTAACTTTTGGTTGTGGAATCATGTTTCTTCTTCGTGTGGACTGCTGGGAAGCTCCATAGGAAGCGCTCAGGACTTCCTGATATAAATGCCAAGGGCTCTCCTCACAGCAGGTTTCATCTCGATCCCCTGTCCTTAAGTGTAGCACCGCTCCAATTTCTTCCCTGATGAACACACTCAAAGCCACACACCTTCAGAAGTCACCTCAAATGTTTAAAAAGAAGCAGAGCCATGAAAAAAAATGGATGAATAAATAGTTATTCATCTGGGAAGAAAAAAACACAATGGACACCTTCTTGTATTTTTTTTTTTATGAAGGTATAACTTACATTCAATCAAGTGCACGGATCTAAGCTATTCCGCTCATAATAGGTTCCCCTCAGAGGCAGCTGCTATTCTGATCTTGATCATCCTAGATTAGGTTTTGCCTTTTCTGAATTTCATATAAATGCAATCACAGAGAACATGCTCTTTTGTGTCTGGCTTTTTTTTTTTTAAGATTTATTTGTTTATTTTAGAGAGAGAGAAGGGGGGAGGGGCAGAGGGAGAGGGAGAGAGAATCTCAAGCAGACTCCCCACTGAGCTCGGAGCCAGACTCGGGGCTCGATCCCACAACCCTGAAATCATGACCGGGCTGAAACCAAGAGTCGATGCTTAACCGACTGAGCCACCTAGGTCCCCCTATGTCTGGCTTCTTTTGCTCAGCATCACATCTGTGAGATTCATCCATGTGGCACTATAGATTAGTAATTCAGTTCTCTTCTGTGTGTCCTCTTCAATTGCAGGACTAGGCCTCAGTTTATTTATCCATTCTGCACTTGGGTGGCTGCTTCGGTATTTTACCATTATAAATCCCATCGCTATGAACCTTCTTGTGCAGGTTTTTTGCTGAGCATAAACCCCTTATTCCTTCCGAGCATATTCCTAAGAGTGGAATTGTCAGAGCCGTTGCTGGAATCGGCCAAGAATTCCAAAGTTGGTGGCTCTGATGTACATTTCCACCAGCAACGACGGGGAGTTTCAATTGCTTCACTTCCTTGCCCACACTTGGTGCTGTCGGTCCTCTTCATCTTAGCCATTCTGGTTAAAGTTTTTCTTGAAATGAAATCACTCTTTCTCAAAGTTAAAACAACACGCACCGTCCCACCTCTGTGCCCTGTTCCTCCCCTACCTCCTGCCATTGGAGGGAACCACAGGGCCCAGAGTGGAGACACAATGGGAAGCTCTAACCAGTCATACAACTGGGACTTTCCCCAGTGGGCATGAACAATACTGAAAATAAATGGTAGCATGATGGAGCAGAAAATGGAACTTTCCAGTGTATGCCTAGTGGAGGCTGAGCAGGTCTTGCTGTAGCTCTATGTCCTGCCCCCCCCCCCAGCTGCTATGTTCCTAGTCCAGTAACCACAAGAAAGGCCCAGCGAGAGTCTATTAGAGCAACACACCCCCTTCTCAGTTGGGGAGCCAGATGAGAACTCCCCAGGCCCACAATCCTGCAAATGCCGAACTTTGAGGGAGCGGCTGTGTGTTTATTGTGTGTCTGTGCGCGAGGGTGACTTCTCAAGAGAAAGACACATTGAAAAAATGCCCTGCCCAGCCTAGAGCAGGCGTGATTTATTAATAAGGGTTGGTTGCCAGGGAACTCCCTTGAATAGATTTAAATTTTGCAAAAGGAGGCAGAGCTGTTCATTTGTGGAGGTTAAAGTGGGTGAAGTGGCTGATTACCCATTTAAGACTCCACAAGTCTGTGGAGCCCTGAGTAAAATGCCTTCCTCAGAAGCTCTCAGCCTCAATGCAAGTAAAATGAGGCTCAGAGAAGGCTGAAGGAGGACCTAATAACTGTTTACGAGCCCATTAAGGATGATTAAAAGGAGAGCAGTGAGCAGCTGTTTCCCCTTCTCCAGTGATGACAGGGCAGGAGGGAATTGGGCTTGGGCTTCTCGGCCAGAAGAGATTTAAGTCAGGCACAGGGAGGGACTTCCCAAAGGTTAGGGTCTGTTTGAGGGCTCAGTTTCTCCCCTGGTGATGGGCAGGAAGAGCCACTTGCCTTCCAAGCCCCAAGATGGGAGCCTGGAGGAAGCCAAGACATGGGGTCAGGAGTGGCCCCAGGTGAGGCGTTCTTTGGCCAAGAGAAAATCTGCTTTTCCCTTTGCATATTTGGTTCCTGGGTGGGGGGAAATCAGAAGTCTGAGGTCCAGGGCTGAGGCCATTTGTTTTCTAACATTTACCAGGTTTGGGGGAAAAAAAAGTTATCTGAATAAAATAAAGCCAGGGAGTGCTATGGATCTTGTGAAAAATTTCTCACATTTCCCTTTCAAGGCCTTAAACACATATGGACTTCTGTAGCTAACTTTGAGTTGCCTGCTTCTGAGTCATAAAATTGGGGCAGAGACGTTCAGGGATTAGACCACAGAGGGACCCATCATTGTTGAGGGATTTGAAACCACGTGGTGAATTCCGGAGTTTAAGCTTTCCGTCGTGCTCCGTGGGAAGCAGGGTGTTACAAGCATGTGTGACTCGTGAACAGAAACCAGGCATGGACACTTTCACTCCTCAGAGCCCTCTTTCGCATCTGTACTTCTATCGTTTGCCTTTTTTTATGGAATGTGCTTTGTGATGGCTGAGAAAATCAAAGCGACAAAATGAGTGAATATTGAAAAGGATCGCTACCGAAACTTGGCGTTTCTCATTTCAAACTTAATGTGCGTGTTTATAACTCCCATTCATTCAATAAATATTTATGGAGCATCTCCTGTGTGCCAGGTGTTGATTCCTGAGTAAACACAGCTGCCCCAAATCCCTGCCCTTGGGGAGCTTCCGTTCTGTCTGCTACGGCTGACCTTAGCCTGCTGATAAGCCCTCCCCAAAGATTCTACTCCCCGTACCATTCTGGCCTATTCGTTTCTTGGTTCCTTGAGCGTGTGTGTGTGTTTTTAAGATTTATTTATTTATTTGAGAGAGAGCAAGTGAGAGGGCGAAAGCGTGAGAGCAGGAGGAGGGGCAGAGGCAGAGAAAAAGACAGAATCCCAAGCAGACTCCAAGCTGAGGGCTGAGCCTGACTCGGGGCTCAATCCCACGACCCTGAGATCATGACCTGAGCTGAAACCAAGAGTCAGGATGCTTAACCGACTGCGCCACCCAGGCGCCCCCTCCCTTGAGTGTTCTGTCTGAAAGATAAATTAACCCAAACCTTTCTGGAAGAACAGATAACTCAGAACTATTTAAATATTTTTGTAAAAGACTTAATGGGGAGCCCTTCTCAGGAAATAGTTAAGATGCCCGAGTAGGGGGCCCCGGCCTTGGGCTGTCAGGGCAGCATACAGCTCCGAATGGCAGCGCTGAGCCGGGTGGGACTTCCGTGTGTAGAAAATGGCAGGGTCCCGGGGCCAGAGAGACATCTGATCCGGAGCTCAGGGAAAAGGTCAACCATAGGAGGGGTGGGGGGATGGGGAGAGACTCAGACCACCTGTTTTGGGGGTGAGAGGCGGCTCCTGCTCTAAAAGGGAATAATCCAACTGAGAAGATAACCAGCTCATTAAGAAGACAACCAGCTACCACCCGGGCACTTTGTGGGGACTAAATGAGTTTCACAGGAAGTCAGGGCTAGAGAAAGCAGGTGTGGGCCACAGCAGTCTCTGAGTATAATGCAGGACCTGGAACCCGTGGGACCCCAAAGGTAGAGATGAGTTCAAAGTGGGAGAGAAGAGAAATTTTGAGCAAAGGCAAAAGCACTCAGAATCCCAGCCTTCAATCCATGTGCAGCCGATGCTTGTCCTGTGTAACCTGAGTGAACAACCACAGCCCCAGACGGAGCCTCCTAGGTATGTAGCAAGCACTCAACAAACATCTGTAGCCTGGGATTGAATTGTGCCAGCTTGCGGTGGGTTTGCTACCCAGGTCATGCGGCAGAGCCACGGCGTTTCTGACTAGACCTGGACAAACATTATGATATAGCAAACAGTCACTGCGTGCCTACGAGGCACCAGGCACTATTTTAGGCTCTGGGGATAGAGCAGTAAATAAAAAACAATGTTCTTACTGTTTATATCCTAGTGAAGGATGAGAGACTGAATATACAAACGACCAACGGTCGGACCGTAGATAAAAACAGAACTCTGACCCACAACCTGCGGGAAAGCGAGCCCTGGTCTACAGTGAACGGCAGAGGACGCCAGCCTTTTGGAAGTCAGGCTCGCAGGAAGCCAGATTGCTATGTCTAGAAACAGTCTCGGAAGGTGAGCAAGAACGTCTGTACCAATCTGCCCAGGATGGCCAGGGCTTGATGAATTATGACAGCTTCCCTAACTTTATGTCCACTTCCAACTGAGGACCAACCACCGAAAGCCAAATATCCACACCTCACCAGTCACATAAGATGCACCCCCCTCCAGTGAGCCCGCCGACAGCTCCCCATGCTGGCAGCCCCCCAGCAGACCACACCTGAAGCCTTCCCTTTGTTCCACCATAAAGCTTTCCTGCTCCTCTCCCTGCCTGTGAGTCTCTGCAAGAGTTTGAGTGGCGCGACTGACCCCCTTGCTGTAGTGAGTTATGAATAAATAGTAGCTTTCGCTTTTCTCATGTTGTTGGTCTGTGTTTATTTCCATGGGAATGATAGACAAATGGATTATACATCTTACATATGTATCTGTGTATATATAATCCATGTGTCTAGGCATGAAGTGTTAATGGTGGTAAATGCCACTGAGAAAAATGAACAGGGTCAGGGTTATGGAGGGAGGGCATGGCCCCTTTAACGAGGGTGCTCAAGGAACGCCCCCAGGGTAAGGAGAGAAGTAATTGCTGGAAGTGGGGAAAGAGCCATGCAGGGAGCTGGGAAGAGCCTCCAGGCTGGAAATACAAAGGCAGGGGCAAGCCGAGAATCAGTAGGAGGAACAGGGTGATGAGCATAAGGACTGGAGGTGACTGCAGAGGGGTGTTTGTGGGGGAGGGGGACATGTATCTGTGGGGACAGGCTGGGAATGTTTGTCTGTGGGGCGTGTACGGTGAGGGTCGGGGGATGGTATGATCATCACGTAGGGCTTTGTGGACCCTGGTAAGGACTTCGGCTTTTAGGGAGCCATTGCAGAGTTTTGAGGGGTGATATCATTTATGTTTTAAAAGCATCTCTCTGGGGGCGCTTGGGTGGCGTGGTTGGTAAAGCGGCTGACTCTTGGTTTCCGCACAGGTGGTGATCTCTGGGTCATGGGATTGGGCCCTGAGGGGGGCCCTGGGCTGAATCTGCTAGTCCTTCTCCCTCCCCGCCGGCTCAAATAAATAAATAAATACAATCTTTTAAAAAAACCCAAACATCTCTCTGCTGATTTGAGAATAGACTTCTGGGAGGCAGGGAACAGGGCTGGGCATAGAGAGACCAATCAAGTGGCTATTGGATTAATCCAGATACGAATGTCGGTGGCTTGGTCCAGGGTGGCAGAGGTAGAGGATGGTGGGTATAAGGAAATTTTTTGAATGAGTGTCTCAGCTAGGAAGGAAGTCCTGAATTCTCTCAGGCCCTATTCCGTGTTAGATACAGGCGCCCCAGCAGGGTTTAGCCAGTCAGTGGAAGCTCCAGCTATTTCAGAGAACACTCAACAGTTCCTCCCAAATGCGACTGGCCCCATGCCTAGTCTGTGAAATCTGTCCCTGTTGGGGGATGGTGGTCACGTTTGTGTTGGGGAAGTAAAGAGAACCCCTCAGTGTTTCTGCTGCATTGAACTTCCTGTCAATATTCCAAACAGGCTTTGAGGAACCAGAGGGAACGCGCATAGATTTTCTAGGTCTGGAGCCTGAGTCCTGCCACAGGAAAGGTTACAGGCACCTCATTCAAGCACTGCATTAGATTTGCTCTCAGTCTAAAAAGTACAGTAGTCCCCCTCATCCGTGGGGGGTACATTCCAAGACCCCCCCATAGATGCCTGAAATGGCAGATAGTACCGAATGTTAGATGTACTATATTTTTTCCTATACATACATAAAATTTATGATAGTTTAATTTATAAAATAGGCATAGTCAGAGATTACTAACAATAACTAATAATAAAATGGAACAATTATGGAACAATTATATCAATATACACCTCATTAAAACGTGACTGTGGTCTCCCTCTCTCAAAATCTCGTATTGTCCTGTACTCACACTTCTCCTTGTGCTGACCTGAATGATGAGGTGAATGGCGTGGGCATTGTGACATCGACGTACCACCGACTTTCTGGCCATATGCCAGAAGGAGGATCATTGCTTCCAGACGGTGGTTGACCGCAAGTAATGAAAATCTCTGAAAGCAAAATCACAGATAAGGGTTGACCACTGTCCAGTTCTGATGAAATACCTTTCACCAGGAGACCTGAGTTGTAGGAAAAAAATTGTTCCCTGGGACTCCCCAAAGAGTCTAAGTTCTTTGGAAACTTGTCTGCTTCGAGGGAGGTGTCCAGGAAAACCGAAGCCTTGTGATTAGATCTTGGGAGACAGTCCTAACTTAAAATGGTATATCCTACAGTCCCCATGAGCACAAACTGTAATTATCAGTCCTGATTTGAGGTTAGGAAAACATGATCCTTGTAAATCGTGAGACCAAGGCAAAACGTGCTCAGGAGCTCCGCTTTCTTCCTATGTGTTTCCTGCTGGGTGGGGCTGGCCCAGTGCCTGGAGGCGAGCAACCTCCTGCCCACACGCTGAGCCCCAGCATCCTCGCAGCTCTTTGATTTCTGTGGCACTGAGAAAACTCGAGGCAGCCCTAGCCCATTCAGAGCCAGGCACGGCTGAGGGAGGGAAGCTGGTTAATCTGATTTATAGGCAAAGCTCTCCACCCCTCCCCGCACTGCCCATCTTGTTTCTCCGTCCACAGTAAGAACATGCTCCAGCTGGCATGTGAAACTGTCCTTTTTTTTTCTTTTTGGTAACAATTTAATTATTCATATTGTGATTTAATTCACATACCATAAAATTCACTGGTTTTTAGTATAATCACAAAATTGTACAACCACCACCACCACTACCTAATTCTAAAATATTTTCATCTCCCTCCAAATAAACCCCAATCCCATAAATTGCCATTCCCCATCCCCAGGCCCTGGCATCTACTAATCCATCTGTCTTTATGGATTTGTCTATTCAGGACGTTTCACAGAAACAGAATCATAGAGTATTTGTCCTTTTGTGGCTTGGCTTATTTCATTCAGCATAAAGTTATCAAGATCTATTTCTGTTGCAGCAGGTACTAGTACTTCATTCCCTTCTATGGCTGAGTGATGTTTTCCTGGATGAGCATACCGCATGGTGTTTATCCATTCGCGAGTTGCTGGATATTTGAGCTGTTTGCGCCTCTTGGCTATTATGGACAATGCTGCAATGAATGCTCATGTACCAATTCTTTTGCAGGCACATGTTCTAATTTCTCTTGGACTGTCTCTAAGTGTAGACTTGCTGGATCATGTGGTAATTCTAGATCTTTCTGAGAGACTGCCATACTTTTCCAAAGTGGCTGTACCATTCTGCCTTCTCAAGAGCAAGGCATGAGGGTTTCCCAAATTTTTAAAAGAAAGGGAGGCACCCTCAGTCTAGGTTGTGGTGTGGGGCATTTAGCCCTTCGCAGATCCTGTTCACCGTGGCAGGGGGAGTCGAGGGGTGGTCTGGAGTGCGGGTCGACCTCCCCGAGCTTCTCCATGACAGCTTCCTCTGCACCCGGGTGGTCTGCGGCTATGTCTCTGCCAACCTCAGGATGGCGACTGCGTGTCTAAGATGTGCTGGGCACGCTGCCTGCATGAACTCATCCTCACGGCACTCCTTTGCGGATGGTCCCGTCACCTGCATCTCACAGATGAGAAAGCTGAGGGCTGGAGAAATGAGGGGACCTGCCCAGAGATCACAGGGCCAGGGCAGGAACCTGGGGGTGCCTGCTCCGAGCCTAAGTGGGAAGGGTTCGGTGATGCCCCTTGATTTGCCTTCCGGTGGGGAAGGGTGTCAGATGACAGAACACTCAGGTGGATCCTCTGACCGAACAACCCCAAGGCTTCTCTTGGCTGCAGAAATTAAGCCTTCACAGAAACAGCGTCAATACCAGCTTCTGGACCAGCAGATACGCCCCATGAGCATCTGTCCTCTCCTGCCTGGCTTGGGCTGGGATCTGAAATGGCCACGGGCCTCCCAGAGTCCTGCAGAGCTCAGAGCACTGGGCTTTGGGCTGCATAAAAGGCAGTCTGTTCTTCCCTCTGCCCTGAACACATTCCCCACCTGTCTGCCGCTCAACAGAATCAGGCTCATCTTGGCTATGAGTATTCGAGTGCCTTCCAAAGATGGTAAATCAAGATCTGGGTCACGGAGAATCAGCCCCCTCTTCTAAAGGCCGATGGATGGGGCTGCAGTTACTAATCTGGACCAGCAGGGGCTCTTTTTACCATTTCGCTTCTTCCACCCAGTAGTCTAGAAATGCCTCCGGTAAAAGACGGGCTCTGCCTTCTTTTCGCTTTTCCCCAAGCTCTCCAGGGTGTGTGGCCTCAGGGCCTGCAGAGCATCCGCGGGGCTCCCACAGTCGGGATTCTGCCGTGTGGGCACCCACAAAAACCCACAGTAGCCGTGTGGTAGCTGGAAACCCGGGAGCGGTGTACCAAACCTTCGGGAGGAGGGAGTGCGGGCCCACTCCGCCCACAAGTGGCCTTTTCCCAGAAGGCCCCGGGACAGCTATCAGGGCATTTTGCCAAGCAAGCTACTGCTATTGACCAAGGCGGCTCCCAGCTGGGCTCAGAACAACTTCATCCCTGCTGACATGAGTCGAGAGGGTTAGAATCAGCGGTGGTGCTTGGCATCTCTCACCAAATGCCCCCAGATTTTGTTTCCTTAACACACCATCTTACCACGGGGTTCAGGAGAATGAGGGCCCAAGGTCTGTACCTTTGGCTGAGTGTGCGCTAACGTGTCTGCGTAAGTGTCCATGTAATAATAATTAAAATCACTTTGCATTTATAGAATGCTTGCAGTGTGCAGGATCCCATGGGGTCCTTTGGACTTACAATTTTATTTAATGGATGCATCTGGAGGTAGTATCGAATTTACTTCTGAAGAATCGAAGCTCAGAAAGCTCTCATGGCTAAGTAAGGCCAGAGGTCTCACGGTTTAGTAAATGGCAGAGGGAAGTGGGGTCTGAAAGCAGGGGTGGCTTCTAACCCCTTTATGCCACGACTAGGATAAGATAGCTTTTAGCTTCTTGTTGCTCCCACTCCAACATGGCCTTAATTTGTCGCTGCGTTGGACAAAGGGGGCAAGGCCGGGGGTAGAATCGGAAGGGGCAAGGCCAGGGGTAGAATCGGAAGGGGAAGGTGGAATGTGAGGATGGAATTTGCAAGCAAGTTGATGTGGGAGCTGGTTTGGGTGCCTTGAAATTCACCAGGACAAGGCTTCTAGCATGCGGCCCTTTGCACGGAGCCCCTTGAGGGCTCATTAGTGTCACCGGGCACCAGGAGAGAAAGATAAAAAGAGGAGTGAAGAGGCAAAAAGGGAGGGGGGAGAGCAAGGCTGAGGCCAGGGTCGTTCACAGGAGGAACGGG